ACAAAAGGAAAAAACAGATGAATTGGGCTTCATCAAAATTAAAAAATTGTGTGCATCAAAGGACATGATCAATCAACAGAGTGAAAAGACAACCCATGGAATGGGAGAAGATACTTGCAAATCATATATCTGAGAGGGGATTAATATCCAGAGTACATAAAAAACTTCTACAACTCAACTAACAGCAACCAACTCAAATAAAAAATGAGGAAAAGATGCAAATAGACATTTCTCCAAAGAAGGTATATAAATAACCAATAAGCACATAAAAAGATGCTCAACATCACTAATCATTAGGGAAATGCAAATCAAGACCACAATGATCATGGAGTTTCAGTAGAACCAAATTGTTGCCATTAAAAACTATTATATTGAACTATACATTGAGAAATCAATCAAAATAAAAATATTTACTTCAAAAAAAATTAAAAAACCCACAATGAGATACCACTTCCCACACATTAGGATGGCTTTAAAAAAAATAAAAACAAACAAAAAAATAAATCCCAAACCAGAAAATAATGTGTTGATGAAGATGTAGAGAAATTAGGACTCTTGTGCACTGTTGTTGGAAATGTAAAATGCTGTAGCTACTGTGGAAAACAGTAATGGTGGTTCCTCAAAAAGTTAAAAATAGAATTACCATATGATTCAGCAATTTCACTTCTGGGTATACACACAAAAGAAGTGAAAGCAGGGACTTGAACAGATATTTGTATACCCATACTCATGGCCAAATAGTGGGGACAACCCAAGTGTCCATCAACAGTAAGCAGATAAACCAAATGTGGCATAGCCATACAATGAAGTATCATTCATTCTTAAAAAGGAAAGAAGTTCTGACACAGACTATACCATGGATGAACCTTGAGGACATTCTGCTAAGTGAAATAAGCATCATAAAAGGACAAATACTGTATGATGCCACTTATATGAGTTCCCTAGAATAGTCAGATTCATAAAGACAGAAAGTAGAATGGTGGTTACCAGGAGCTGGAGGTAAGGGGTAATAGGGAGTTAGGGTCAGAATTTCAGTTTGGAAAGATGAAAATAGTTGTAGAGATGGATGATGGTGATGGCTGCACAATATTGTAAATGTACTTAATGCTACAGAGCTGTACACCGAATAATGGTTAAAATGGTAAATTTTATGCTGTGTATGTTACCACAATTAAAAAAAAAACAAAAGCCCTGTACCTGCAATTCAGTAGGTTGAGTAGTAGGTGAGTGAATAAATACATACTGGAAGATGATGCTTTTCCACTGGGTATTAAGGTGAATAAAACACGTCTTGTCCTCAGATGCTCACTGCAGGGTATGCGGCACTGCAGTCATACTTCACCAGAGTGCCAGGGTGGAGGGGCAGCACATGGCCTTGTAGTTTGGAAGCCCACCCACCTTACCCCTACCGCATGCCAGGCTTCTCGGGGTGGGTGAGTTCTTTT